GTCCAGAGACCATATATATATTCTCCGATTCCCAGATCGTACTGAGTTGGCTTTCCTCACCGAAGCACGCAAATGCGGGAATTCTGGTGGAGAACCGACTACGCGAAATACGAAGAATCATCGACAATTTACGTAAACAAGGAGTGCACGTTATATTTGGGTATGTCCACACATCGGAAAACCCAGCAGACTATGGGACGAGGGGAATGGATCGAGAACAGTTCGCCAAGAGCGACTGGTGGACTGGCCCACAGTTCTTAAAATTACCTATGAACTCTTGGCCTGTGAAATTTTACCCAACTACACTCGAAGAGGAACCAAACAGCAAGGAGACAGTACCCCAAGATGTTGTATGCGCGACTACTACTTCTGAGGAGAACACTATTACTGCTGAATTATTAGACTGGAATAGGTATGGCTCTTTCATCGCCGGTAACCGTATTGCCGTTCTGGTTCTACGCTTCATTAAGAAGACCTTACGCTCATCGGAAAAGATACGAGCTAAGGTCTTGGAAAAGGTGCCGGAGTTACTACATGTCTTGGACACTCCTCGACCTTTACAAGGTAGTGAACTGAAAGCGGCAAAGGTAGTGCTCCTTCGCAACCATCACTCCGTATACTTGACTGAAGCATACCGCAAGTCAATGGAGAACACCTTGCGACTATACAAGGACGAGCAAGGAATATGGCATTCACGTGGACGCCTTAAGTATTCAGCACTGCGTCAAGATACAAAGGACCCTGTCTTTATCATGCCGAACACAGCGCTTGCTCAAAAACTTATAGAAGAAGCCCATGGAGAATTCCATAGAGGCGTGGAACATACGATGGCCACGGTAAGGGAGCGCTATTGGATTCCTAAATTGCGCCAACAAGTTCGGAAATTGACCACGCACTGCATCCCGTGTAGGAGGTTTAACGCCTTACCATACCATTACCCTGACACCCCAGACCTACCGAGTCAAAGGGTTTTGAGAAGCTACCCGTTTCAACACACAGGGTTGGACTTTTTTGACCTACCACCTTGCACGGAAAATGGGACTACCCAAAAGATTTATGGATGCATTTTCACATGCACAACTACACGTCTTATTCATCTGGAAGTTGTACATAGCATGGCCACAGAAGAATTTTTGAACGCATTCAGACGATTCGTGGCTCGTAGAGGCGTACCTGAGTCAGTAACCTGCGATAATGCACCAACCTTTATTTTGAGTGCGAATATTTTGAATGGTCCACAGGAATTGCATGACGATTTGCAACATGTCATAGCTAACAAGGGGATAAATTGGAATTATATAACACCATATGCGCCTTGGCAAGGGGGGTTCTACGAGCGCCTCATCAAATCTATAAAGCACGCCCTGTACAAGGCACTACCTCCTGGTCGACAGCGCTCATTCGATAATATTCACACTATCATCACCGAAATTGAAGCGTGTTTGAATTCCAGACCCCTTACATATCAAGGATCCATGCAAGAGGAACTGACTTTAGTGCGCCCTGCTGATTTCCTGCAATGTGACATTGTGTTAACGTTCCCCGAAATCGAGACCATTGATAGCGATGACCCTCCCTACTTACCTGCAGATGCGCGCCACACCCTGCAATATCGCCAGCAAGTGATAAGAGCCTTGCAGTCATCCATACAAGAAACAGAAAAGTTCTGGACGGTATGGCAACAACAATACTTGACCGCTCTTAGGGAAACCCAAAAGCGCCTTCCAACTACTCGCAGACTGGGACGTGATATACCAACAGTGGGAGATATCGTTCTGGTTCATGATCCAGTCCTTCCAAGGCAGGAATGGAAAATGGCGCGCATAACGGCCACAAAAGAAGGGCACGATGGAAAAATCCGGGAAGTGGAACTTCAGACCACTAAGAAAAAGAAGATCCGCCGCCCTGTAAACCTGTTAAGTCCTTTAGAAATTCAGAAAGCACCGGATAAGTCACCTAGCCCGCATATTGCAGATGAACCAGAGGTCACGCCCGAGAGTCGCGAAATAAGGAATACCCACCGATATAATTTACGCCATCGTCAACCCAGAAGTTATGCTCAAAATAACGCTCACACCTTGACAACCCGTTCGAGTGCAAACAAAATGTCAAAGTGGTTCCTTTTTTACATAATGATTCTTTCCTTATTTCGAACTACGATAGGTAACTACTCAACGACGATGCAAATATCCTGTACTGAACAAGGCGTCATAATAAACTCAGCTAAACCACAAGTTTTTGAAATTTGCGCCGATACGGTCTGCAAAATTGAGCATTTCATTGATGAGCCAAAACTTATACGCTTTCCGCCAGAAGTGACATTGCATGATCACAACGTCATACTCAAATGGCACGTAAATCACGAGCTTGCAGTTATCGAAACGCTATGCGAAGGAATAGATTTTTGCGCAAACATAGATTGCTGGGCATGCACCTCCGTTTTCTTTAATCCAGAGTGCAGGCCACTCAGAGCAATTTTCATATTTGCTCTAGGCCTTTATGGAATCATTGCCCTGCTCTATGCATTCTTGTATGTACCGGTAACTGTTGGTAAACCATTGCGCCTCCTATTTACTGGACTTTTCTTGCTGCTAAAAAATCTGACTTACCTCATGCAGCACGGTTGTCTAAGTCTTATACGTAAATTCAGGACACGCTCTCGATCTTCATTGAACACCCGGTTAGCAGCGGCACTTGCCATAGTAATAACATTATTAGCCTATGCTACAGGCCCTGCGTTGTCCTGCCAGGAGGTTAACGTATTGCAACATCATGCCACAATCTGCAGCAACAGTGATGGCAAAGAATCTTGCTCAGTTAGGCTAACAGAGGTATTGAAACTCAATAGCTTAAAACAACAAGCCTGCTTGCGCCTAATCTACAACTCTTCTCTCGTTGCAAATGTCAAGATTAGATGGATGGGACTGTATTTGCGTTGTGAAGAAGAGACAGAATACTTCACACGCTCCACTGAGACTCAAGTTATCGACAGCAAACGTTGTCCTTACCGAGGATCATGTTCAGGGGATAAGTGCGCCAGTATAAATAGCACTAGCCTCATTCCAGAACTCCATATCGGTAACTCATATCCTGGGCGAACGGACTGCTATGAATCCTGCGGGGGCTTCGGATGCCTATGTGGATCATTTAGCTCAGGTTGTCTCTTCTTCCGGTTGTACGCAAAGCCAAAAAGCACGAAAATTTATAGAATATTCCATTGCTTGCGCTGGACGGAGGAGGTAAAGTTAGAAGTGTTAGTAGAAACTGCCAACACAAATCTGAGTCGGGAATGGTACATAGTGGGACTACTTCCCAACGTTCCCATAGACTTTCCATCCCTACAAATCACCATGACATCCCTCACGATGCCTCCCATGCCACAACTGAGCAATCACTTTATCACTGATGGCACAGATACAGCCATCTATATGAGAAAGATAATCCCAAATCTTTTCTGCGAAAATCAGAGAGCAGCGGAGACGTTGAACTGCACCTTCTCAGAAAACTGTAAATGCGCACCTGCTGAAACGAAAGTTCGATGCGAATGTCCTCCTTCGGACGTAACAGAAGAGCTCAGTCACATCGAGCTCAAACTGCCTCTGAAAAGTCCCTCTTGGGAATTAAAAAAGGGCAAAAATACCGCACTTACAGCAAAAATCCCGCACCTGGTATCCTCAGAAGTTTTCATCAACTTTCACAAAACGGTAGACCTGACCCTGCTAGAAGTACAAAATCTAAGCTGCACTATCGAAAACACCTCATTGAATGGCTGCTATAATTGTGCGAAAGGCGCCATCGCGAACGTGAAGTGTACATCACCGAAGGAAACTCATGGCGAAGTTTTATGCGCCTCCCATACCTTTGTCATTCCGTGTGCACCTAGCAGTCCACTGACACCTTTACTATTTCATTTGGGATCCGCGCGCCAGTTTTTAGACTGCACTATTTCTTGTGGTACCCTTAAGCACCCCTTCAAGTTAGAAGGCATCCTGAAGTATGTCAACGGTCTACAGTACCCTTTGCTGTCTAAATTACAAGGCAGCAGTAGCAACTACCATGAGTCTTCATGGCCCGACTTTGGACATATTTTTGATGTATTACTTTTTTGGTACAAAAGCTTACTCACAGTCCTTGTGGCAGTTGCACTCTCAATCTTCTTGATTTACATATTCCTCACTACAATTGGGATGCGCCTCCTCAAGTTGATGTTGTGCATCATCTGGCGTCTGACTACTTTACCTTTTCGTATCTTTATGCGCATCCTGGCATATGCCCTTACAAGAAAACAAGCAACTCCACATGCGCCCTTAAAAAAGTGGGCTTAGTCCACTCAATCAATTATTACTTCAAAATTACATAGATCAATTTTCTTTCTTTAGATTCATCAACAACATCTACAGACCCACGTAGGTGCGCCAGGAAAAAAAAATCTAAACGAATATGTCCAGAGAGGTACTTGATTAGGTGCGCCTTCCCAAGAAACTCCATCACTTTAGTGCGATTTTCAGAACATGGTAACTTTTGCGACCGTTGAGGACGAACTCCGTCGTACACAGCGCGATCTTCAACAGCTGCAAAATGCCATTCCGCCTTTACCAGAACCGCAACAGCTGTATGATAGTATTGTGTCATTGTGTTTTGATAATTATACTTGCACACAAGCTGTCACTGCTCTGGAAAAGAAAGTCCGTCAATCATGCCTTGCCTCTAAACCCTTTCAGGAACGTGTTCTCGAGATTGACTTGCTGGATTTAGAAATTGATCACCTGCGTCTCCAGTTTCTTTATTGTAGATCACAATTGCGCACTCTTTATTCAGTTCCTCCTTTACTCATTGCGTTAGGAGAAATGTCGCGAGAATTCTGGGAATCCCTAATGCGCCAACCACAGGAGATAAACGAATCTATGAGCCTTTTGATGGATTTATCCACCATAGAGAAGGTTATTTCGGACCACTTACAAACGCTTAGCTCTCTCCATTCCACCCTTGGTAACGTGCGCATGGAAGCCCAAACAGCTAAAGACAGAGATGCTCTTACATTCGAGATGCAAATGCGCGAAAAGCTCGCTTACCTTGAGCAGCTCATTACGGAATCGAAAGACTCCGTAATGAACGCATTAGAGAGCGACAGTATGTGCCCGAACCACAGCCATCCACAATGTCAGAGAAGCGGCGACGAGGAAATCCAAGTGGTTCACCAAGAAAATGATATTATCGAGGGTAATGCAAATTTCATGGAAGGAATCAATGAGCCCGATGAAGCGGAAGAGATCGAAGCGGATGACGAAGAAAACGCGGATGAAGAATTCGCCGAAGCCGCTGCTGAGGAGCCCGACGAAGAAGACGTCGAAGCGAATGAAGAAGAGATTGCTGAAGAAGAGATTGGCGAAGCAGATGTTGAACAGCCCGAGGAGGAGGAAAATGTCGAGCCGGAAAACGTCGAGGACGACGAAGACATATTCATGAGGGACAATGATCAAGAAGATGCTCCTGGTGACCCTCCCGAGGGCGATCACGATGGGCAAATGGTAGAAAGACTTGAGCAGCAGTTTAGAAACGCCCAGCAAGCGCTACGTAACTTTGAAGAAATTGTGCACCAGTTAGATAACGAGTACATTTGCCCTCCTAGGAGGTTCGATTATGGGCAGATTAATAAAGCTCATGAGCGTTACATGAGATGCGCCTTCTGTCAAGCCATAGGATCCCATTATTCAGACTCGTGCACCGTTGTACGCGACATTGGAATTAGGATACAGTTGATCGAGACAACCAATAGGTGCAAAAGGTGTCTCGAACTCATCTGTTCGAGGGGGTCCCTTTGTAAGAAATATTTCACACACTGCTTCTATTGTCGTAATCGCGGCCATCACAGTGCGCTGTGCGATTATCCAGAATATTGTGACCAAATTCGTGCCCGTCTGAACAGGGCTCACGAAGGCCGGAGGAGAAGTATTGCCAAACTGGAGGACCTTCGACGAAGATTGGCTCTATTCGGAATTCGCCCATGAAATTCGCGAAGCTAACTTCAGAGTGCTCAGAACGAATGATATATACCCGCTTCCCACAGATTTTCTTGCGCCACTTCTCTACACTTTTCGGGCCGGGAGTATCGCGATTCCCACGCGATTCTACAGTATTCATTCCTGTATCATGAGTCAGGAAAAGATGGAATGCGCTAAGGGATGAGAAATCCAGCTAATGCTCAGCTTATCACTAACATATATCTTTTAGAGAATAAACAGTATATATAGATACGGTAGAGCAAGAATGGATTCCAAGCAACCCCGCGACCCCGCCTTGTGAAATTCTCAGTTCGCTTTCAGGCGTTGGCAGTTGCGCCCGACTTGCGCCCGTTTTTCCCTCTTCCTTAGTGTGCGCCATGCTC